AAAATAAATAACCTGTCATCAAATTATTTGGAAAATATATCAAATATTTACAAAAAACTACTGCATTCCGAAACCGGTGAGCTTGAAAACAACTTTTTATAACCACATGTTAACTTACCTGAAAACGTCCTTTCACAAGGCGGTCAACGGGTATGTTTTTATCCACTCCGACACGTTTAAAAGCAGCCTGAAGAATTTTGAAGTTTTGAATATATTCGTGCTCGAGGTTCGTCTTAAACTTAACTTTCTTAAGTTGAACACAGCCCGCAAAGAGCATATCCATGAACTGACAGTATGCAGCGCCTGAGCATAGCTCCTCAATCTTTGTGTAATGTGTCTTCAGGCAGTCATTAACCCATGCGAGCATGTCATGTCGCGATAGATTCTCTGTGGTGCATGACGTGGCGTAAACATTTACGCACAACGGAGTGTCTGTCATGATCTGCGCAAACCCATAAATATAATCACATATAATTATATTTAAAAAATAACAATAACAAAAACATCCCTGAAGTTTTTATATACACAAGCGATATAATTAAACCGCTTTTCTAAAATGAAGTGTTTTGCTAGGATAAATATTTTGACTTCAAGTAGATATTTAAATATGCTTTTTCATAGTATCTCTCATTCTGTGTCTATTCACCTCATAATCATTTGCCATTGGAAATCTCTTTCCTTAAAAAAATGCAGCTAATGAGGCAGATCACAAGGTCCACATCTTGAACATACTCGCCGTGTTAATGCAAATAAAGGCACTCTTTAATATGTACATATATTGCATACCGATTAGTCTGCTATTTCAGTCACCAGGTGATGCTTGTTGAAGTAGATAAAAGATACAAATACTTTATGCTGAATTACTCATTTATAGCCCTTACATTGTTTAAAACAGACCCAACAAATGGTAAGAAAACGTTCTTCTGCGCTTACTTAAGCCTCATCACTAAACTGCAACAGCACCGTTTATATTAAGCGAATATCTCGAAATTATTGGGCACCAACAGTCAGTTCTTGACTGCTCGGCGATGCACACAGCTTTAGTCTGAAAATATGTATAGTAAGGCAGATTTTAGTAAATCGAAACTTCCCATAACAAGGCGTGTAAAATTAAAGGAACTGATTACGAGTACACGAGAAACGTACATTTACTAAAAAAAGGCAACTTCGTTCTTTATGGACTCGGCCGTCGAAAATAAATGCGTTCAGTACTTGATCACAAATTGATTTTATTTTATGTGACCATTTACAGTAATATTGTGTAAAATAGATAAGTATAGTTACCGTGCAACTCAGAAACTTGTGGAAGGACACAGTAACTAAGCGTTTGCAGTACAGCGCTCGTCCTGCTTGTGCAGAGCGGCCACTTTACTGCTGCATCATTCATTAGGCTTTCGCTCATGTTCTTGTTTGATTCGAATTAATTTGATAATGTATGTACTATTAAATCGTCCATGTAAATTCAACATCTTTATATTTTGAAAATATAATGGAATCCTTATGTAGACCTTACAAACACGACCATTGAAAATTAGACATATATAAACGTCATGTAGGAACGTGCACATCTAAATCATGTTCTAAACTGGATTATTATTATTATAAAATTTGATTTTATATGATTTTAACATATAAATAAATTTGGACGAAGTCAAACAGACTTTGTGGTGAGAACGGAAAGCCAAATACAAACTACATATCTGAGTGAAGCCTATTTTTTTAATTTTCATTGCACATACAGAAATCTCAGTCATAAAAAGTATAAATGGAGGCTACTAGAATACAACGAAGTAGACATTTCAAACCTGTCTAGCTTTTATTTTCTCCGAAATGTTTTACGGAGTTCATATGGATCACGCTTGACGTGTTTGAAAAATTAGTGAATTATATTTAAGATTCATTAATATTTTTTATTGTTATTGTCGTCATTAACTTCTTTGTTTATCTAGTAGATGCCCAAAGCCACAAGCAAACAGTATAAACAAAATACGCCATAATCCTGTTAGGATGAGCTTATTTGAGTCACGAAATCCAGTTACCAAGTCATCTTCACCGATCACAAAGACTGTAAAGAAAAATTTTGTGACACGTTAGCAATTTTAAGGGCGACCCTATAAAGCATTGATATGCAATGCGTGTGAATAAAACAGGACCAACAAACAAGAACTAACCGATTCCTCGTCTGCTCCCATATCTCAGTCGGAGCGCAGATTTCGACGCAGCCGGCTTTGATAACCAATCACTGCACCTTAAGGAGGTAGAAACATCTAGGCACTGCACGGTATGTTACAAGTACACTTCAATTTCGCTTTAAAGAAATTCGGTATTTAGAAGCCATTCTACACGATTTTCATATACATGCATCTGACAAGCGCTGCTGCATGTACTCTGGCACCCTAACCAAGTGTTACAACTTGAATCATTGGTCGTTAACAGAAAATCGGTACTATCGTCCAAAAAGTACTAGATGATGCCAGTGGCGGGACTTTAGTCCCATTTTTTTAAACTAAAGCGTTGCCTTTGGATACACGCAAGTGTCGTATGAGTCTTGAAGGAAAGGACAGCGACCGAAACTATAGCGACAACGAGGAAATAGTCGGGGCAGTGGAGCAAACGCCAAGAAGCGTCAACAACGGGACTGGCTACAAAGCCGGCAATTTGTGCTGTAGCTAAGACTCCTACGGTATTTTTACGTAGAAACTGCGAACTGTGTCATAAACATACAACATGAGCTACGATAGTAGACACGGCAAAAAAGGCAACGTCGGCGCGTAATACGCCCACCGTCTCCGTACCACACTATTCTGAGCTGAACTGATTTCTCCCGTTAGTTGGCCAGCCAGTCAGTGTGCCAAAGTGATTCAATAAGAAGGCGACCGATGGTCAATGACGACAACGTTGTCAGTCAGTGTATGAGATTATTAGATGGGACTTCGATGTACAGAAAAAAGATAGACGTATTAGCAAACAACCGAAACGGACCAAATCGCACGGACGGGCGCATGCCTGTCACATGAAGCAGTGGCAGATTGTTGCTACTGTCGCTATTATCCTTACATTTGCTAATGTTCTTATCTTTGCCATCAATATCTGCAGTTCTTCTCCCCTAGAGTACACCTTCAACAACTATAAACTAGAGTAGCACTCCAGACGATAGTCCATGAACAAAATCCGAAACGGTTGCACTGCGTATCGGATGCTATTCGCTAGTAAAATTACTGCTGAAGCTGAGTTCTATTGCTGTCTGTCATCATACTTTTTACTGCTCAAGGTGTTAGTCCGATAATCTGTGGCTGTTCGGCTTATTATTGGTACTGCTTTATTTGGGCCAGCTTGACCAAACAAACAAGGCTACCACTTGCAGTTATGCCTTTTCCATATACCCTAGATAACTACAATGAAATCACACAAGGGAACATAAAAAATAAAAGTACTTTCTTTACTCTCTATGTTCCTTCTGAAGCCGTCACTGCAGACCCCAACGCTCTAATAGCACCTATGTTACCACATAATTTCACCCATAGATAAGGTAATTGCAGAGGCCGGAAAAGTTAGATGGGGCAATATAAATACTTCGTAATCTATACATAATGCTCGATGAACACTTAGACAATGTGACTTACAACTAGATTACTGTCAGGCTAACAATAATAATAAGAAACTTATGAGTAAAACCTTACACGACAAAACACACACAATTGATAACGGTGTTACTTACGAGGCCAGCCAGAAATTGTGCCCGCACGAATCTGCGGTGGTCTTTGAAAACTCCCTTCGCGAGAAATCCTTCGGCACCTTGCAAATTGACCAATGCTTAGACTCTTGGAAGACTCTACTTAACAGTCAGGCAACTAAGAGATAGCGATAGGAGTGTGACAGAGACTGCAAATTTTGTTGTTGATTTCTCAACCCAACACGCCTTTCGCGTAAAAAACTCGGAACGACCGGCGACTTCACCGCTTGCTTGGTTCACCAGTACAACCCAGAAAACCCAACACACCAGTCCGTCTCTTCTCTCCTGTATTGTTGCGGGACTGCAATTGGCAGTCTGTCGGTGCCGTATCCCGGAGCAACAAGAAGCAGACAACGACTCAAAAGATGGATATAGGCAACTTTAAATCGAAACCACTCACAGCTTACGATCCTTCACATGATCATCACGCACTTACGCTCCCAGAGGACTGGCTGCTATTAGTAATGTCATCGGTTTAGCAGCCTTAACTGAAATACAAACAAAAAAGAAACAACTGTTTCGACAGGCGACCCAGTGGACTCATCGGCGCTACTCTCACAGCGCGCGAACTTTGAATTGCTTTATTTGACAACATCTGTAGTCAAGTAATAATTGGTTAATTTCTTGTCAAGGAAAAAACGGTGAGTGCAAAATACTCAAGTACTCCTGAGGAAATCTCGTATACGGTGAGCGTAGAAAACAACCGTTTTTTTTTTGACGAATTCGTTCTTGGCACTCTTTGTAAAAACAATCGGAGCGAACGCTTGAGGTAAATTTCTTAAAAGTTAGCTACATATTCATTCAAATGAAGCTGTATCGATAATTCAACAGCAAGTTGCGCGTATTAATTTAAGTTAATGGAAACACGATTACAGTATTATTTTTATAACAATAAATATAGAAAGAGAAATTCCAATACATTTTGTTGCCGGCAATAACGTACGTGTACAAATCAATGTTCAGCCCTAACTGCTTGGTTCAAAATTGTTGAATATTTTCTAACTAGTTTATACTAGTGCACGTTGTTGTTGAAATTCGACACTGTTAGGGGAAATCGGTCTGCTAAACGGGCGTTACGAGAGATAAGGCGTACGACGGTACGTCATATCTCTCATAATGAACGACTAGAACGACTGCGTAGGTTATATGCCGCCATTCAATATGCGCAGGCGATGGAAATAGCAGACAATGTCCTGCTGGCTTAGTCAAGCGACGATATAGATTTTATTTACAGTATCATAAATAATATCGGTCCTATACTCAATCAGTAGTCGCTCGCATCTGCCGTATTTTTTACGTAGCTATTAATCTAACCATCAATTCAGTTTATATCTCTAGTTCAACTTCCCCGTCTAACTTGTAGAAGTGACTTGAGAATTTAAGGCTTACTATAACAACAAATTTAATGGAATATACCGTTTCCTTGATATAGAAGTACAAATTTTGTGTCTATGGCTTGATTTAAATCTTTTAATTTTCAAACTATGGTTATTTTTAATTGGCCCGAAAACTAAGCCTGTGCGAAATTAACAAAAATTAACGAAATCATTGTCATTTATTTTACTTTAAAATAAAGCCTGATCTTAAAAGTTCACAAAGTCTCGTGATTTTTAATAAATATACTGTTTTAAAGTTTACGGATCTTATATACGCAAACCGCCAAATCCCAATTAACAACCCAATCTTTCAGTTAAAAGAGGCTTCTACAGTGAATTTTAGTATGCCCCTGGAAAACAATAATTTAGATCGATTAAATTTCGGTTATATAAAAGCAAATAGTTTGAATGTCATCCAAGCATTTTCTTATAAACACAACCTCAATACAGTCCTTTTCTTGAAGATGAAAAACGCGAAAAAACTCTGAATTTATTAGATATTAAGCTAATTTGAACTTTATTCACTATGACAAAAGACTGCCAGCTTATAATGGCTATATCAACTGCCGATCGCCAATCCAGGTAAGCAGTTTTATTTAAAAGCAGCTGCGAGTACTTTCCTGGTACTTTCTGGCTCCGAGCAAAAGTTATGATCATGTAAATGGCTAGGTACGCAAAAATTATTTTATTTGACCCTCGTCGTTGAAACAGTTAATGGCACCATGTTCCTAGGTAAATTCAAATTAACGGGATTCTATAACGGACTTCCTTCATCTGTGGCGAATTTGTGCCTATATAAAGCAAACTAACTAAAGATCTGCGTACATTTAAAATGTACACTATTTACTACAGGTAGTCCCTGAGGTTGCGTGTTATAGCTGACTCGTTTAAGCAATTGGCAAGAATACTTTAGGTCCATCTTCCCGGAATAAATTTAAAGCGCTGAAGCAGTGTATGGTATAAAAGTAAAAAAAAAAAACGCCCAGCTGGTACTTGTGAAGATCTCTCAGCTTCATGGTGGTTTTTTATGTAATAGGTAATGATTTCAGGTCTCTAATAAGGTACACGGACGATCGTGATTTAATGGGTGTTCTACAATTTGGAGCGAGCCCGCGGTCGAGCCCAAAGAAAAACTGCTTAGAGAAGTAGTTCTGGTGACCAAGAAACCGCATAACTGCAATCGTCAATGATTCCTTGAGGAAGCCTTATGACTGCAAAGCACTTCATAGATGGAAGTTTGGTGAGATCATGCTGTATTCCCGTGAAGTCGGCGTAACCTTCTAAACGACATTCTTGCAGACATGTTTGCCGCATGATATCTGTATCAAAATCTATGTGATTTTGTGCATGTGGTCAAAAGTATGTGATTCGGTACAAGATTATATGAATGTGGCCTGTCTCGAAGTAGTAGTTTTGCAATTGTGTCTCCTGTGTGCATTACGTGCAAGAGCATATCAGTATTGGTGAAATATACTTACATTAACTTTCACAGTTAACGAGCCGATAAGATAACGGGATTAACAAACTTGGCAACTAGAGGACATGGTTCGATAGCTGTCGCAATGATATTCATAAATCTGCACACATTAATGCTCCTATGCACGCGTCTGTTTATATTCACCTATATAACCATAAGCACAGATAACATGTGATGATTTCAGGAGAAGCACGTAGATTGCTTAGTAACAACTGCCTGCCACAATATACCTTGTTATAGGCACTGCTCAACGACGGTAGTTTGTCTTTTTCAATGACCAATCGATCGTTTCAACCGACGAAACTTGTTTTCTCCAAGAAATGATTGATTAGCATTTTCAAATTTAGGAAGCTTAATATATCATCCCGACTACATTCTTTTTATTCCATTTAACCTGGCAGTACATTTCATTCAATATTTATTCATATTTTCGTTGACTGTTTGGGCGCCCCTTTAGCCAGACTTCTCAGCCCGCCGACTTTTCGTTTTTTCATATCTCGCAGGATACACATACACACAATTCGTACGTCAGAGCTTACAGCGTAGCATTCCATAGCCATTCACTTTCAGTTGAAAATATGTGTTCTGTCGTAGATAAACGCAACCAAAGTGCACTCAGCCGAATTTCGATTGACGTTTCGATTGAACGTTTCATTGTGGGTAGCCCACAATTAGATAGTTTGACGACTATTTCCAATAAAATTTTAGTTTTCAATGAGATGAACCACACCGGTCCGTTTGTCCACGTTTTCGATGACAACGTGCACTTCCGTAATATTTACGGTCTGGATCTCCGTATGATTCAAGCTTCATTGAGCTACTGATTATAATTTTATTGTTTTTTGACCGCTTCTATGTCATCGACAGCTTCAGTATAGCATAAAACGCCGAGCGCATCCATTACAATCCAGCAGTTAATCCGATAAGTCATCCTACTTTAATCACAGTAGAATAGGCCGACCAACCAGCGCATGCGCAATAGGTTCTTGACAGCAACTCGTTGCAAGATGCTGGGTTCCAGGGTTTCGGCATCAAAATTAGAGTGAAACTGCTCCCAACGCATACCACGTAGAAGAGGGCAACACTTAAAGGCTGATTTTTAGCAATTATTTTACTGTTATCAGCGATCCAACAAAGATAATAAACAAAGCAGGTTCAATATCTACTGTGGATGCAGACCTAAATTAATACATCCACTAGAATAATTCAGGCACAGCTGGCAGTGCAATTATTAAAAGATGATTGTTTCGAGACAAATTATTTGCCAGCACACGCATATATAGATGATCAGGATAACAACAGTCGGCTCAATAAACCTCAGAGATGTCCATGCTCCAGTCGTATCGCGACCTGTCTTTCTTACGTTTTACAGAATAAGAAGGCGCATTCCTCTTAATGTGTCGAAGGAACTGTTTATACAGTCCGTGTTCAATCAAATAGATTGAAATAAACCCAATAAAATAGTTTCAAGTTTCAAAGCTGCGTATCGCGAGATATTTTGAACTTTTTTTTTAATCTATGAAAGCGGCATTAACTATTTCACTTCGACGCCTTGCGTGTCGATAAAAAGACCGGCAAATATTTTCAAACGGCTGACAAGCGATGTGATATGTAAAACTAACAAAAGCTATTTTACCAAACGCACGCGTGATTGCTCGCTGTAATGGGATCTCAGCGAGTCCAGTTTTCAGATTTTGTGCTAATATCTCCTACCATATACAGCCGCCGCATCTCATCATCTTACGCGGCTGTTGTCAGCGTTGAACAACTAAATGGTGGTTGTTTAGGTAACCTTGACTGGTTTAGGTGTTCTCTGATGATGTTTTGTGTTGCCGTATAGAAGGTGCAGAAAAGCGAAAAGGAAAAAATGTCACTGAGGAACATACGATACTGATTAGCAAATTGCTCTGTCATGATAAGTGTACGTAATGCGAAATTGCTGAAATAATATTCTAAAGGAAAGTCTCTTGCTAGCGCCGCGTAAAATCTGTAATACGAACCGGAAGAAGGGTATTATGAGGCGGAAAAGAGATCTTATGTTTATTTACGAACTAAAATGGTTCTTCTCGTATGGTGTTTCTCAGAACAGATTAAAAGACTTTAGAGTCGCTGTAGTGAAAATCCGCCGCCGACTAAAGAAACTAAATTCAAGGGTACGAGACTTGCCAAAAAACCTCAGTTGAATGTTCGAATAAAACGAGTCCGATTTTATTGGATAAACCAAATCAAAAAATAAACCATTGAAAACCACAAAACGTCTAATCTTATTTTGAAATCCTTTAGAAACACACATTATGCACAAAACTGCGTTATGCCAAAAATCAAACATTCATCAAAAGTTATGATGCGGTCTATGACTTCTGTCAAACACTCTGCGATGGTACATTTTGTCCAAGGAGTATTAAAGCATCAAAAATATACAGACACTATCAAGAACAAGATTCCCCTAAGGTACAGGAGTGGTTTCCTGGCGGTGACTACGTTTTCATGCACATTGGGGTGCTTTGTCACTGGTATTGGACTATCCCTAGGCTATTCATTATTAATAATGCTTAGATGTTGCTGTGGTTTGCTAATTCGGCAGACCTCAATATTATAAAGAACGTCTAGAAAATCG